AAACCCCAAAACCCCAAAACCCCAAAACCCCAAAACCCCAAAACCCCTTATTTATTTTATAATTTGGAAGATTCTGACAAATAAGAATTAAAGCACAAATATTAAAATGGATAGCATCCGAAGTGAGGATTTACAACATTGAAGAATGATTCCAGGGATAATCATAAGGCAATGTGAAGATTATGTACAAGAGAAAGAATTTATAACTATGAATCACTCTTATCTTCTCCAGAAGCATAATAAGTTAAGATTATTGAGGCCTGTGACACTTCATATCGCAGATTCGTATGACAGTTCTTGGGAACTAATTAAGGACCTAAGTTGGTCATCGTTTCCTTTCTTTAACAAAAGAGCCTCGATTTCAATTGAAGATTTGATGAATACTAAAGCAAATAAATCGATAAAAATTCACATTCTTTCTCAACTCTCTCTTGCCACTGTCTTTGATGTTTCAATTAGTTCCATACCCTCACATCTCTTACCTTGACTAGCCAAGCCTCTTTGCTGATTTACAGGCTCTCTTTTCCTTTCATCAATGAAACTATCTCAGAAAAAGTTATTCTCGCTCCTTCTCAGTACCTCTTCCTGCAAAGAAATTGAACTAAGGAATGTTTCTCTTGAGTGCGATAGGATCGTCAGAACGCCGAGAAGAGTAACTAGAGTATGAAAATTCCGTTTTACCTCCATTCCATCCCTCACAAACCCCCCAAAACACCTCTCTGCCCTACTCCACAATCTCTCAGGCTGCTTCACCCTGAAACCCACTACCAAACTCATCTTCAAAGGTTACTGAATCCCCCTACGTGTTCTGACCGAGCTTAAGGAGGTCAATAAGATTAACTATGTACGAGTAGAAGTGCACCAGAGGTACAAGCAGTATAATCTGTAAGATGTCAGATGCAGATGGCCATGAGGACTAGAGAGCGTGATTGAGGAAACAGGGTTTAAGATTTTATAGTTGATCCAATACAAGTTTGGTATCAGGGGTTTTGGGGTTTTGGGGTTTTGGGG